ACCGCGTAATGGCAGTCTTCCTGCCCCGCCAGCCCATGCAGCAGGCAGTGACCGTGCTACTCAAGGTACGGGATAGGGGATACGGACAGACCGTACGGGTACGGGTACGGACGTGGGTACATGTGTATTTCGTGGTCGTGGTATCTGCACGCTTTCTGCAGTTTGTTTTGCCTTGCCTTCCTCTGGGGCCCATTACGTCCCCCAGATGGTCACATCAACACACCCTCATCCTGCCCTACGGGCGCACGTACCTGCAGCTGCGTGTGTGCGTGTGCGTGTGTGTATGTGTGTGTGCGTGTGAGTGTGTGTGTGCGTGTGCGCGCGCGTGTGTGTGTGTGTGTGTGCGTGTGCGCGTGTGTGTCTGCGTGTGTGTGTGCGCGTGTGCGCGCGCGTGTGTGTGTGCGCGTGTGCGCGCGCGTGTGTGTGTGCGCGTGTGCGCGCGCGTGTGTGTGTGTGTGTGCGTGTGTGTGTGTGTGTGTGTGTGTGAGTGCGCGTGTATTTGTGTGCGTGTGTGTATGTGTGTATTTGTAATGACCTAAACCGTGCTGAGGGAAATGCCGCTGGTGGTACACGGATAACTTTACCGAAGCGTGTGTATGTGTGTATGGGTATGTATGGGTGGGAGTACGATGTCGCTAGCAACCTCACCCTCTCTCCGTCCCGCGATTGTACGACTCAGTGCACCATTTATGGCTAGCTAGGGGTCCCTGGCCAGCCTCGCCGCCACTGCCACTGCCACTGCCGCCCCCTCGCGATGATGATGATTGTCAACATTGCACGCCCCGCCCACCACAACGCCACACGGACCTACTGTTGCCGTGCACCCGTACTGCCGTACAGGAGTATCTTCCGGTGGCCCGCGCAATGGCCCTCAACGAGCTGCTCATCCTGTCCAAACTCTTCAATCGGCCTGAGGACCTGTACGAGGTACGACACAGGGATTGTGGGCGTATCTGGATATACCCATATGGCCCCGGCCCACGGGCAGTTCCCATACACAGCGCACAACACCCCTCCTCTTCCCCTCCACTTACCCCACCTTCCGAGGTGCATCCCGCCGCTCGTCCCCTTCCCTTTTTTCCCCTTAATCGCCTTTTCCCCTCATTCGCCCATCCGCACCACTTCCCCGCCGCCCCCTTACCCAGTGTTTTTAAAAGTGGTTACTAGTGACCAATTGGTTACTGAAAAAATATTTCCCTTCCAGAAGGTGGTGTGTCACCTGCCAGTATTATTTCGCGTCACCTGCCAGTAACCCGTAACCAGGTGGTCGCCAGGAAATTGGGGGCCACATACCCCCCCGGGAGTGGTGACCACCTAAAATGCTTTTGACGCTTGGATGGGAGCAGTGATGCTTCACACAGCTCGGCTCGGAAACGTGTTGCCGTACATAGAGTCAAAGTTGATGAAAGCTTGCTCAGACGGCTTGTTCATTATAAGTAATTCAATACTCTCAATATGGACCAGCAATGACTTAATACGTGAAAATGATCCCAAATACGGTTGTGAAGAAAACGGGTCCGAAGTCAGGAACATCGCGACATGTTTCCTGTCTCCTCTTACCACCAACGAGCAACCTCTATTGGTGAGGGCCTTACCATGTCTCCACCCCCCGTCCCTTCCTCTCTCCTCCCTCCCCCGCTCAGGCCGCCATAGCCCCCCTCCGCCGTCGTCCCCGCGTGGTGCCACTGCTGGGGTATTTTGTTTCGCCACCCTCGGCGCCCAAGGAAGCCGCGTCGGTATCCCTGGACTCCGCGGCGGCCAGCGTGTGGCTCGTGTATCGGTATGAGAAACTGATGCCCCTCTACATGTACCTGGGATTTGTACAACCGCCGGAGGGAGCAACGTCGTATTTCAGGCGGACGTGAGTGGGTGGGCGAGCGAGTGAGTGAGTGAGTGAGTGAGTGAGTGAGTGAGTGAGTGAGTGGTGAGTGAGCAAGCGAGCGAGCGAGTGAGTGAGTGAGCGCGGGAATGAGCAAATGAGTGAGCGAGCAGAGGACAACTGCTAGGTGAAGGTGATATGGGTATGGAGGTGGTTTGGGGGCGAGCGAGGGTGCGGTAGAGAATATTCCTATATAGTTGATGTGCTGCGAAGCTAGAGGGCTCGGTGGTGCCGTACATTCTCCCCTTCTCGCCCCTTCTCGCCATCTCCAATCAAGTATACAATTTTGGTTCTGTCGGTGAAAGGGAGCCTATGTGGGCCGGTGCCCAGCCTGGCAAGTTGATCGATTTGTTCCGGTCGCTGTGCCGCAGTGGGTGAGTGGGCGGCTTGTGTCCCGCTCTACTTCGATTATCGATTTTCGTCGTTTATTGACCAGTTGACCTTTGTCGTAACGTGACATGCATGGCCGTTTCATCTTCTTTCCACATCGTGCATTTATCGTACATTCGTACGTTCAGCGAGGTGGCCGAGGCAGAGGCCTGGCGTGCTCGTTACTACTGGCTGCGAGTACTGTCTCGCGCTCTGCTGGATGCCGTGTCGGACTTCCATGACGCGGGAGTGACCCACGGGTCGATCTCTAGCCGCACCGTGCTTCTGAGCTCCACTCGCGATGCGAACGCGGATGCGTTAGTTGTCAAACTGGAGAACTTTGGATTTGGTCGCCTGGAGCCCGTGGGTGAGTGGGTGGGTGGGTGGGTGGGTGGGTGGAGAAGAGGGAAATTTGGCTGGGAGTGATGATAGTGATTACTTGGTGTTTTATTAAGGGCTTTTAGGGTTGGAGGAGGGGGAGGTTGGGGTGTGATAGGAGGCAAGTGGATTGAGGGGAAGTGTGTGCGGGGTTGGTCCGGGTTTTGAGAAGTTGAGTTTCAGGGCAGGAGGGAGGGGACGGTTTTGGGGGTTTAGTGGTACAGGTCTCTCTGTCCATCTTTCTTTCTGATCGCCAGATCGCCAGGTCAGGAAGTTTAGGATCTTGGGAAAAACTGTGATACTCGAAAACCTGTCGCTCCCGAGCTGACACTCTTTCGCATGCATGTCCACTCACTGCGGCCATTGCAGAACTTTACACCACCTCACGGAAGGGCCAAAAAAATGACCTGCAGGTATATGCGCGCGCGTGTGTATGTGTGTATATGTGTATATCTGTTACATATGGATCCGGGCCTGATGCTGGCCAGGGGCACCTAACCATACCCCAATGGGAATGAGAGCGACCACCGAAGCACTCCATCATTGGAAGGGCGTTATACTATATTGGCCAGAGTCCTAACCGTCCTCTATGTTGTACAGCTCTACAGCTGCGCGATCTACCAATGCACTCACACCGGTGCCAATCGCCACCCTATCCTTGCGAATATGGCCGTCGCCTGGTTTCGTTTTCCAACCACCATCATCTGGAATGCAGCCTGGTCCGGTCGCTATGCAGTATTACTCCTCTACTCTACTATGCGGCAGTGTCTAGATGTTCATGATGAGCTCCCCCTCCAGCCGCCCAGCGCATTGGAGGAAAACACACTGTTTCACATCAGCATTCATCACCCCGATCTATTTCACCCGGGGGCGGGGGACCAGCGGTGGGATCCGAACCCACATCGTCCGATAACATGTGTGTATGTGTGTACAAATCATGATGGATACACGTCTTTATCCAATAGAACTGATTTTATTTAATGTGTGTTATTTGGAGGGGGCGATGAGGGTTACAGTTTGCGGCGGAGCGTAGGGGCCTAGGGTTACAGTTTGCGGCCGAGTGTAGGGTGACAGCTGACATGGTGTTCGTTATAAGTTGGTTATGAACCCATTCTTACTTAAATTGCACCCTTTCCAACCGTGCCAATCATCAACCGCCAACCACTATCCCCCAATCACCAAACGTCCCCGGCAAACATTGAAATATCTCTCCCTCCGAAACCAAACCCCTGAGCCCCCAAACACCCGCCTGCCCCGCAGGCAGTAGCCCTGACTCTCCTGGAAGTGTATTGCGCCGGCACCTTCACCTCCACCACCAAATACCCCATCGGGCCCCTGACGCGCACCTCACTGGAGCGGCTGCTGTTTGAGACTTACCGCGGCGACGTGGCGGCATTTCGACTGTATTGTGCAGCTGATCCGTCATTGAGCCGTCTGGTGGCCTTTCTGGATGAGGGCCGCCGATCGGGCTGGGAGTTGATTGCGGAGCTGCTTAGGGGCCATTGGGGCGCTACTGCGCTGCTGCACCAACCGTTTTTTCATATGTTGAATTCACGTTAGATGCGGATGCAAAGGTGAGCGAAGGAAGGCCTTATGGGTTTTGGTATGCAGGGCTGCGTTGAAGCTGGCGTGGAGGATTTGAGATGTTTGGGCTTTTCGGGGATGTCTGTCTGGTATCTGCGGTGTGTGTGTGTGTGTGTGTGTATGCTTGTGATGTTTGGGGGCCTTGGCTGTCGGATGCATGGGGTTTGAAATTTCGAATTTGAATTGTGGTGTTGGTTTGGATTCGGATCACAAACAATCCCTTCTGATTAAAAAGGATGCAAACCTCTTTTGCACTGTAATGTATGCATGCATGCGTGTATGTGTGTATGTATGTATCACCTGTGCACAAACTCTCTCTTTTTCAACTGGAAGCAAAGAATCTTTCTTTCGTGAGTTGCGCACATGAGTGAATGAGTAGAGAGTTGTGAAGTATGTCGAACAATCCGTCAGCACCATAAATCACGTCGTGGGGGAGATGGGTACTGATGTTGTTGAGGGATGTTCGGGGTCCACTGTAACAATCGCATCCTCCATGCGCTGCCAAGCTGCCTCTCATCCTGAGCTTGTGACGGCTGCTGCTGTGGTAAAGCAGCAATCCGCCCAAGTCCTTGCAACCAGCCACTGCGTGCACGACTTGGAGAGGCTCCGGTGACACCATGGCGGCCGGCCCCCACGCGTTGCGCACATCGGCGAACTTCTGTTGGGTGCTGGTCCGAACCAGCATCATCATGTCTTGATGTCATCAGGTAGCTACAGACTACAACGGATGAAATTCTATTTTATCCATTGCACTCTTAAAATCTTAACGAAGCACTAAATGGAAGGTGCTGCTATGGGTGCTTTAGTCATACTCAGGATTTTCGTCCAGAAATGTACGAATGTACGAACGAAGAAGTCATCCCAAATCCCAAAACCTACTGATCCAATGGAGCGGAGCCCGGAACCATGTGCATGACGTGACGTCATCAAGCCTAGGGCATACATGTGCACGACGTCACCTTCCCACGGGACCCGCCTTGGACTTGGAGAAGCAACTTCTCACAAAAGCTGGCGAAAACGAGTCGCCTGAGATTTGAGATGAAGACGATGATTTGTCAGATCTGACAGAAAAAGTAAGATGCTGTATCTCGGCTCGGAGTCGAACAGGCAAATGTTTCCTCCTCTGTCGTCTTTATCTTCTGCCACTCGTCGCCTGCGGCCTCTATCCCCTGCCACCTCTGTCCCTTGCCGCCTCTATCCCCTGCCGCCTCTATCCCCTGCCGCCTCTATCCCCTGCCGCCTCTATCCCCTGCCGCCTCTATCCCCTGCCGCCTCTATCCCCTGCCGCCTCTATCCCCTGCCGCCTCTATCCCCTGCCGCCTCTATCCCCTGCCGCCTCTATCCCCTGCCGCCTCTATCCCCTGCCGCTCCTCGCCTGCCGCCTTCTCCCCTGCTGCATCTATTCCCTGCCGCCTCCTCCCCTGCCGTTAAAGGCGGCCCAGCGGGGGCAGGTGTGCCAACCTGTATGGCAGGCTTTCGAGAGTGGGAACAGCAGCCACACGCTGTCTTTCCTCTTGCATTTGGTGAACGTGAGACGCCTTGGTGTAGCATGTGAGCATGACATCTATGGATGCGCGCGCCAGGCCCCTGGGAGGTTGCTCCAGATCGATGACCCACGGTTCGGATCCAAAGCTCAAGCCTTGCGCATAGTAATTTGAGGAGACAAACAGAGGAAGGGGACAGAGGAAGGGGAAGCATGTTATCTGGTGTCCAGATTTGTTGGGAGCAGGTCTCAACACCATGAGAAAAGAGAGGTTCTAGAGGTTCGTATACATCAGGTTTCTATGGCCCCACACTGGGACTGGTGGAATTCGTGCTGTGTTGTGAGCACCTGATGCAACACATACCTGTGACTGCCAGAGCAGGTGTTGCTGGTATGTTCCTGCGCTTGAGCAGTACGCTGGTTACTGGCGCCCTGCCGTCCGTGAAGTCCGCAGGCTCAGGCAGGGTGATGTTCAGGGTGCTGCTGTCTACTGGGAGCACCGGCACTAGGCCGGCCGTGTTGTGCGCCCTGTTGAAGTCCTCGGGGAGCAGCTGGGTGGTAGGTGGCAAGCCGTCCGGCTGCACCAGCAGCGCCAGTGGTGCATACCGCAGATTCCACACGCCATTAACCGGAATTAAAACAGTGCTCCGTCGTAGTACAGTGTTGATGCGGTCAAGCCGTCAAGCTGTTGAGCCGGCAGCTGCTGTGCCAAGTCCCGAAGCCGACCTGACACGGGCACACCCTCCGCACTGGGCTGCCTGCTGTGCGAAACCAGAGAATCGACTGCCCGCCACCGAATGAGCAGCTTGCTGCGCCGTGCGGCCTGCAGCATGAGCAGGCGGCCGTTGAGCAGGTGCCGGGCGTCATTGCGTGTCGTCACAACTCATGGGCCATGCTCCCCGGTGTGCAGCAGTGCGGTCCATTGGGATGGCTGTAGGACCCGAGACTACAGGAAGCGCAGCAGCTTGCGTGCACCAGACTTGTTGGGCCCCGGTTGTGCAAAAGTAGTGCGATAAGCGGGTCAGCAGCTGGCCATCCGGGTCACTGCCCTGCCGCTGTTAATCCACCAGCCGGATGACGTCTGCGTCACGATCCAATAGCCAATTAAGAACGTCTCGTCCTCGGCTGGCTGCCCATTGGGACACTGTCGCCTTGCCTGTCGGCGGCTGCGCATAGGTGGCCGGCTGAAAGCGGCGCAGGTATACACAAGTTTTTAGTGGGACGACGCCTGGGCTGGGGTGCTGCAGTGGGTCACCAACGGCTGCTAGGTCACGGCCGTTGAGCACAAACAGATCGTCTGCCGGCCTGGCCGGGAGTCGCGGCAGAAAACGAAGTGCGACCTCATTGCAGTTGCCCAGGTGGTCTTGGATTTGGTCATGTATGTGGTCATGGATCCGGTCATAATTTGACATTTTCATCCCATGTTCTCGTTGCATAGTAGCTGTCGTACGGCATGTTCTGCACCAAACACTGCTGTACGTGTCGTACAGCACGACACAACCCATTCCGGCCGGCTCGGTTAGCTCAGTCGGTAGAGCGTACGGCTGTTAACCGTATCATGCCCCGTGGTGCATCCTCCTCATCCTACTATATTTGTCATCATCCACGTCACCATCATCGTCACCATCATCGTCACCATCATCGTCACCACCATCGTCACCATTGTCCTCGTCTTCATCCCATGTTCTCCTCCATTGCTCATTTGCGCTCGTTCAGGAATGTTGCCAGTCCCTAGGCTTGCACCTTGTGTCACATGCCTGTGCTCGGCTTTGCCTACGTAGACAGACATCTTTGCGGTTTGCATTGACACTTTTCAGAGCTGCACGCTACAGGAGAGTGCGGCTCATACACACCGAAAAGTGGCAAGCCAGTACACATACAGAAGATTGCCAAGACAGTACACACACAGAGGAGCACGAAAACAGTTGGTTGCCTCTGAGAGGACTCGCCGGGTGGCCCAGCCACCTACTCAAGCATGCAATCCGTCTGCCGCCCGCAGCTACCCGTTTTCGCTGCTCAGGTTACTGCCTCACGCGTTTCCGGATTAATCATCAACCACGACCACCTCCCGTCAGGGATGGGCCGTTGTCGACTGTAGGCTCAGAGCGGACATGCCATCGACGCAGGTGATATCTGGACCGACGAAATCATCAAGAACTTCCACGTGTCAGCCCCCGCTCGGGTGACAGGAGACCGCGACATCCCCCAGCATGTATCGAACCAGCGATTGTGCCTTTCAAAGGCACAAGCCTGGACGCTGTGTGTCCACAGTCGGGTCTAGAACAAAACCAATCTAGAACAACGCTCCCATGGTACGCCATGTCAGTTACCAACTCCGTCCCACGTCCCGCCCAAAGCAGCCCAAAGCAGCTCGCGTTTCGTGCATACTACTGCCGGCCGCCATTGTGTGGAAGGCATGTGCGTAGCCACAGCCCATACAGCCATTGATCATCATTGGTAAGGAAAGGCGTCTCACCACGATGAACTGTAGGTCGTCATCCTGCTAGTGGGCTCGCGCGGACCCGACGAATCAAAGGCCATAGAGCCCTGTTTGCAGCTAGTTGCTGATGAAGCATTGTTGATGGCAAACCTCCATGTAGGAGTAACCTGTACAACCTACATTTATAATAACCTAATTGTAACCTGATTGCAGGTTGCATAGTAGCTGTCGTACGGCACGTTATGCACCAAACACTGCTGTACGCGTCGTACAGTACGACACAACCCGTTCCGGCCGGCTCGGTTAGCTCAGTCGGTAGAGCGTACGGCTGTTAACCGTAAGGTCGGCGGTTCAAACCCCTCATCGAGCGCACAGGACAAGCATGTGGGGTCGTAGCTCAAATGGTAGAGCGCCCGCTTAGCATGATGCGACCATGAAGCTGAGCGCCGCAGGTAGATTGCGGGAGGTAGGGGGATCGATGCCCTCCGACTCCATGAGATACACCATTGAAGGACACTCCTGAGCCACACGATGGTTTTGCTAAGGCGCGACATAGGGTACATGGAAGGTTGCAGATTCCACCAGACCTGCGGAAAAGAGGTCACACACACACACACAGAGTCCGTCCAACATAGGAAAGTGGATGCAACCCCACGGAGATGTGACGCGGATGAATCATATTATATACATATATGTACAATCATGGATGGACCCTATTATCTTTATTGAAACCTGCTCCGAGCAGACCAGGAGTAGGCTCGACACAAACGTTGACTGGGCAGAGTCAACTGGATGCTGGGGGTGGGCTTTCACACAATAACATATACGCGGGACTGTGTTCCCTGCATCTCTAATAGAGGCCTTTCCAGAACCGGAATTCAGAAATTAGAAATCAGAAATCAGAAATCAGACTGCATACCCACACACTCGCGGCGTGTGCTTCCAAGCATCTCGAATGGAGGGCCCTGGACACTGTCTGTCTTGACAATGATGCAGGTAGCCGCCTTCCATTCCCTAAAACGTTGTGGAGCGGAGCAGAGGCGGCGGCTGTACAGGTATAGCGCTGCATATGCCAGCAACGCGTGCGGTGTTGGTGGCGCCTGTCTAAGGCTAAATAAAATTCCCGTATACGGATACACAACCCCGTCATGCTAGGTAGAGGGAGAGAGATAA